GGGAAGGTGCAGTGGTGAGACAGGAAAGGGAGGCAGCCAGGCAGGGGTGTGTGGTCAAGCAAGTCACCTCCGTGTGCACATGGAGCTTCCACCTGCTGTAGAGCTCTGGGAGCCAGTGTGGTGGGTGTTCTGCAGTTATTCCCCAGACAGGGAGAGCTGGCATTTATACACCAACTTTCCTCATCCACTGCTTGCAGGTTTTTATGGACTCAGTTGGACATGGACACAATTCTTAAATACTTCTGGCTTCCTGATGGGGCAGGCAGAGTGGGCCCCAGCATAGGCCTTAGGCGGAGATGCAGGGGCTGGTGGTTGGGGTGGGGTCCGAGGGGATATGGGCAGCATACTGGCATCTCTGCAGCTTCAGAGTGAGTGAGGAGCACATGTGAACCCCGAGATCAGTGAGGAGGCCAGAGGCAGAGTGGGCCAAGCAAGTGATGCTGGTGGCCTGGGCTGGAGAGGCTGTGGTTGTGAGGGAGCGACAGACGTCAGGATGTGGAGTGGCGTGGGGGAGTGGAGATGCTGGCGATTGAGAGGAACCACAGCCTTCCAAGGCTGCAGCAGCCCGCTCACCACAAGGAACTCCTTCACTCCCTCACCCCCACACCACCCCCTCCAGCAGGCCCTCCTCTGTCCAAACACATTAGGGACATCAGGCTCACTGTGCTGGCTTGTCAGGACCACGAAGGTGTGTATGGAGGGAGATGATGGTGCTGCAGCACCTACTTAAGAAACAAAAGCTGGGGCCAGGCGCAGTGGCTCACACTTGTAATCCCAGCAGTTTGGGAGGCCAAGGCAGGAGGATCGCCTGGGGCCAGGAGTTTGAGACCAGCCTGGGGAACATGGAGAGACCTTGACTCTACAAAAATTAGTCAGGCATGGTGGTGCATGCCAGCTACTCAGGAGGCTGAGGTGGGAGGATTAATTGAGCCCAGCAATCAAGGCTGCAGTGAGCTATGATAGTGCCACTGTACTCTGGCCTGGATGATAGAGCAAGACCTTGTCTGAAAAACAAGCAAACACCTGGGTTGTTGTCAATGGCAGCCCTAAGTCTTGGAAGAGACCCCTTGGACCATGTGTGCATATGAAAATGAATGTCATCCTGACTACCTCTAGCTTCCAGCATGCCCATGTCTGTCTTCCTGTTGGATGCAACCCTCAAGGGAACAGGTGCTTGGCATGACTTCCTGGCCTCAGGAGCCCCGGGACCTGACTCATAGAGGGCCCTCAGTAATAATCTGTCAGATGATGGAGAATGTGAATGGACCTCTGCTTCTATGCTTCCTGCCATTGGGAAGGAGGGGCTGGGGACATCTGTGTGGTAGCTCTAAGGGTCTGACCCCACTAGCGTTGGGAAAGGGATGGTTTTGTCAACCAGGGCTTTTAGCTGCAGGCAACAGAAGCCGTGTCTGGATGACATAAGTAGAAAAGACTGTATTGATTGGGCATCTCACATCTCACCTGGATGGCTAAGCAGCCTGAGCATTCAGGGACAGTGCCCCTAAATCCTGCCTCAGGACTGCTCCAGTGGGAACCTCTGGTTGTTTCTCTGACCCCATAAGCCCTAGACACTCACCAGCAGCCCCAGTAACTCCCTCCACCTGCAATGGCAGCTCCAGATTTCAAGGGGAGCAAGATTGGCACCTGTATCCTCTGGGCAGTATCCTCTCAGGGCAGGTCCCTGCCTTTGGACTCAGCCTCTGCCTCTTCCCCTGAGGGTTTCCTCTGGCCACTAGACTCTGCTCTGCCTGCCCCTTTAGTGGAGAAAGGGGAAATTAACACTCATGTTCAGGAGCAGACACACATGGTGTATCAACACCCAGGCTCCCTCAACCCTTGGCTAGAGGAACATGTCCTTTGTCTCCAGGACAGCTCCGGCTGCCCACAGTGATGACTTGTAAAAAAGATTCACTTTTCTTTTTTTGAGGTGGAGTCTCACTGTCACCCAGGTTGGAGTGCAGTGACAGGATCTCAGCTCACTGCAACCTCCGCCTCCCAGATTCAAGTGACTCTCCTGCCTCAGCCTCCCAAGTAGCTGGGACTACAGGCGTGTGCCACAACGCCCATCTAATTTTTTTTGTATTTTTAGTAGAGATGGGGTTTCACCATGTTGGCCAGGCTAGTCTCGAACTCCTGACCTCAAGTGATCTGCCCACCTTGGCCTCCCAAAGTGCTGGAATTACAGGCGTGAGCCATTGTGTCCGGCCAAAAATGCACTTTTTATTGACCGCCTTCCCTTCTGGCTCACTTCCTGTCTCCCCTATTGGTGCTTCCTAGGATCACCTCTGGATAAATTGCCTACACTCAAATCCTCAGTGCTTGCTTCTCAGGAAATCACAAGCCTAGGCAGCTGTATCTGACTGGCAGCCCCAGTCCCATGTCCTTTCCTAGGTACGAGGGAGGGTTGGGAAGAAATAATTGGGCATTTTCAGCTTCAGCAGGAGGTGGGCTCTGCTTCCCACCAGAACTCATACGGAGAATGACCCTGTCATCCAGAGTCCCAATAGGACGCCAGTGGCATATTCAAATTATAATAATTGGTGGATGGTTATTCAGACTTAAGCTGTAGGGAGTGGAAGAGACAGTGCAGTGTCTTAGGACGAGCAGTGGCAGAGTTTTCCAGCCCTAAGTCATGTCACTGCACCTCTTTCCTTGTTCTAGTAACTGCCCCTATCCCTTGTCCCTTCTTAGGGACAAGGGATAGGGGCAGTTACTAGAACAGGGAAAGAAAGAGACGCGCAGGCCGTGGGTGGTCGCTCACGCCCGTAATCCCAGCACTTTGGGAGGCCGAGGTGGGAGGATTGCTTGAACTCAGGAGTTCAGCAGCATGGAGAAACCCCGCCTCTACCAAAAGTAGAAAAATTAGCCAGGCACGGTGGTATGTGCCTGTAGTCCCAGCTACTCAGGAGGCTGAGGTGGGAGGATCATCTGAGCCTGGGAGGTCAAGGTTGTGCTGAGCCATGATTGTGCCAATGCACTCCAGCCAGGGTGACTAAGCGAAACCCTGTCTCAAAAAAAAAAAAAAAAAAAAAGATATGCAGAGAGCCCCTGGACAGGTGCAGTGACATGAGGGACAGAGCCAGCCCAAGGCCACCTCACTAGGGACACGGAGGGGAGCAAAGGCTGTACTATTTGTACTCAACCTCCCTAATCTCCTGCCCACTGACAGGGATCAGGCAGGTCAGTCTTCTGGGTCAGAGCAGGGTAGAGCAGGTGGGGACAAGAGCTGAGGGGCAAAGGGAAGGTGTCTAGCACAGTGGAGACTTCCCCACACAAGCCAGGGGGCCTCAGGTGCCAAAGCCTCCTAGTGTCCAGGTGGGGTAGAAAGGAAAATGTCATGCTGGGTCTTGAGCTAGGGCTGGCTCTTTCTGCCACTAACTTCTTCTGTGACTGCAGCCAAATCCTTCCTTCCTGCTGGGTCTCAGTTTCCCTATGTATGAAACCAGAAGAACTTTCAACACCCTCCCATAGCACTACGAAGGCTCAAGGCGGTCCTGAGAAGGGAGTCAGATAGACTGTCCTTTTGGATAAACTGGGGTGCAGGAGGCAGAGAGACTTGCTGAAGGTCACTGATCACACAGATATGGAGCAAGACTCCCATCCCTTGTCAGGGCTGTTCCCTGAGCCAGAACTGCCCTGGCCCTGTGAACCTGCTTTCCCCCGGGGCGGTGGGCACTGCCCACACCCATGTTTGTTTCCAATGATCGCGGCAACCATGTCTCTCCTGAATGGAACACGTGGTGACAGTAGTTTCACCCAAGCTTTTGGACCTGGCTCACCCCTCCTACCCCACCTGGGGACTTATGGTTAGTGTTATGTCACTGCTTGGCATTTGGGCCTATGGGTCCCACACAAACTTCAAAGAACTTAGTTTATGGGGAGTTTCAAAGAGAGTCAGGAGGGCTGTGCCCGCTCCTCTGGGCCCTCTGACAACGACTCTGCACAGCTTGCACAGCCGTGTCCTGGAAACCACCTGGAATCTTGCCACCTACTCCAAGGGACTGTGTGCTGATGCCTGTGTCCCAGGCACATGAAACAAGGACTATTTCATCTTATGTTGGAACCCAAGACTCTGGGTCTTTCTGCATCCAAGGTCCAGGAGGCCCAGAGAGCCCACCTTGTTGGAACCAATGCCCCTTTCCTTGACATCGTGAGACAGGGGAGAGCTTTTCAGCTTTGTGCTCAGTGGATCTGTTGAAAGTAGAGTTTCCGGATCAATTATGGCCCACATGCATGTTCTCTTTGGCTCGTACCATGTTTGCCCACAAAGGTTTATTTTCACAAAGTGAAATTAACTGCCACCGTTAGAAGTCAAATTGGGATTTGACGTTAAAAAGCTAGATCTGGCAGCATGGGCTTGGGTTCCTGTGTGAAACGTCTGCCTGGAGCAGCCCTGCAGCCCCTCCCCACACCCATGAGGATGCACTCCAGTTCACCACAGTCCTCACCACGCCCTACTGTCTTCCAGCTGGGAGCTGAATGCCTATTGCCATTTCTCACCACGTTTATGCTGCTGCTTTCTAGAGTCAGAGACTTACGAAAAGGTAAAATATTTTGGGTCCCCACGTTTCTGACAGAAGTGGAAAAGCAGTTTATTTATATTACCTGCCTGCCTGTTTTCTCTGGGTTGCTAATGTAGCAGTTGATCGCTGGGGTTTGCTTGGCCCCGTGTTTTCCTCTGCCACAACACTGCCATGAGGATCACCATCACATTATGTTTATTGGCCCTTTATCAAGCTACATACATGGTGAGACAGGTCAGGGCAGGCCTCCATTTGTCTGAGGGGCAAGGCATTGTGAGCAAAGAAGACGGAGCAGCTGGGGCTGAAGAGGCTCCATCTAAGGCAGGTGTCCCCAAACTACGGCCCGAGGGCCACATGCGGCCCCCTGAGGCCATTTATCCGGCCCCCCGCCGCACTTCAGGAAGGGGCACCTCTTTCATTGGTGGTCAGTGAGAGGAGCACAGTATGTGGCAGCCCTCCAACGGTCTGAGGGACAGTGAACTGGCCTCCTGTGTAAAAAGTTTGGGGACGCCTGATCTAAGGCAATGAAGGCTTTGCCACACCCCAGAGGGTTCAAGGGGAGGGTCCTAAAAGACCAGCCCTGGGCAGCCTGGTGGGAACAGCCTCTTGGCCATCTGCCCAGTTCCTGGCTAAAGCTGTGGTCCATGTAGTTGTGACTGCAGAGCTTGAGAATGGCGGAGGGCTCAGGCAGTTTGGACAGGGAGGATTGGGATGGGTGTATAAACCCAGCCACCTCCCAGAAAAGCAGTCCGGGCCTCCCTTTTCCTTCTGTCTCACAGGTGTCCAATCTTTTGGCTTCCCTCGGCCATGTTAGAAGAATTGTCTTAGGCTACACATAAAATACACTAGCACTAATGATTGCTGATGAGCTAAAAGAAAAATTGCAAAAGAATCTCATAATTTTTTAAGATTAGAAAGTTTGCGAATTTGTGTTGGGCCTCATTCAAAGCCATCCTGGGCTGCAAGCGGGCCTCAGGTTGGACAGGCTCAGTCTAATGGGAATATGAAGACAGCCCTGGATCCCACTGTGAGAACCCTTCAGTCCGAGCATACTGGTCCTCTCCAAGCTCACTGTTCTCACCACACGGCCCCACTCCGGTTTCCCGGAGGCTCCCCCAGAAGACTTTGACGGGCATATTCCAGGCAGGTGGCTCCTGCCAGGTGCGGCAAGCACCTGGCACGATAGTGGAATTTCACGTGGCCATGTTTCAGGTTGCAGTTCACGTCATGGGAACCAGACTTGGCAATCTGATCACAGGTGCCAAGGAGGTCATCATCCCAGCCAAAGTCTTGATCCCAGACCTGCAACCTCAGGGGCCCCCCTGTGGCCAGGAGCACATCCCCAAAATCCAGCGGCACTGACCACACAGGGTTGTTATTGTTCCACACGGTGCTCGTCCTCAGCATCTGGCCACCAAAGAAGACCTTCACATAGGCATCCGTGGCAGTGATCCAGTCCCCCCACAGGCCCCAGGCTTGGATGATGGTCACCTCCAGCCGGGCCAGGCCCCTCTGCCGAGGGCAGCAGTCCTGGGTGGTGTCAGCTGAGCCATGGCACACGCACTGGCACGGGTCACGGGAGCTCTTTTGCTGCCCCGGTGGGCACGGCCGGCTGCAGTCCCTCCAGCGAGCCTTGTCCATCAGGTACTGACTCAGGGCCCTCCTCAGCGCCTCCCGCCGTGGGTCCTGGCTGTCCAACAGCACGTGCAGGGGCTCCAGGGTATAGTCCACCAGGCCAGGGCTGCCGGGCAGCGAGTTCACCCAAGCTGAGAACTGCTCGGGCCCGGTCTGGCTCCCGAACAGCAGGTCAGTCATGGAGGTGTGATGACCGCCAACCACTTCGGAATGGCGCTCCCGGTAGGCTTGGTGGAAGGAGTTCGTCATCTTGTGCTGCTGCTTCTTCTCCTCACAGGCCTTGGCTTCGGCAGAGGAGCTGCCGCGGCCGCCTATGTTGACCTGGGCCTCGACGGCCAGGCAGTCCCCTACCTCGTCGTCCGTGAGCCCTTCCAGGGCCAGCTTGCAGGTGCACAGGGCAGTGAGGGCCGAGATGCGGCCGCCCAGCTCCACAGCCCGGGTGAAATGGGTGCCGTAGTTAGAGATGAGCCTGAGGTAGGCAGGCTGGGTGGAAGCGTTGAAGTGGGGGGGCAGGCTCCCGAGGGCCCTCTTGAAGTCAGGGTGCAGCGGGGGCATGTGTACCACGTGGAAACTGCCAGAAGAGAGAGACCTCAGGTAGGCTCAGGGTAGTGTTACCCCCATTCAATAACTCCTTCAGGACTGCTCAAGGTCACACGGAAGTGGGCAGCACTAGGCCTGGAACCCAGGGGCCCGGCTCCAGGGCACAAGCACCGTGACATGGGGCTGGCCGGGCTGCCAGGGCCTCAGGGCTCTGTGTAGGGATTTTCTCTTTCCCTTTTCAAAATAACATTTTTTTTCCTTTAAATTTTCTTATTATAAAAGCAGTGATTCTGACCGGGCACAATGGCTCATGCCTGTAATCCCAGTGCTTTGGGAGGCTGAGGTGGGAGGATCACTTGAGTCCAGGAGTTTGAGACCAGCCTGGCCAACATAGTGAGACCCCATCTCTCTCTCTCTCTCTCTCTCTCTTTCTCTGTTTGTCTATGTGTGTGTGTATATATATATATATATATATATATATATATATATATAAAATATTATATATATATAAAAAGATATATATATATATATATATATATATTTTTTTTTTTCATTTCCTACAATTTTATTAACCAGGGAAGGTTAAACTTAAATCACAGGAAGGAAGACTGAGGAATGTCATCACACCTAGGCAGACTTCATCATAAGCTCTTGTCTGTTCTTACCATTAACCATTAAGAAAAAGAAATAAAGAACATGAAAGCAAGGACCCTGCACTGATGGTATCCGTCAAACTTTGGACCCTAGCCACATGGCCTTCATCTGTCCATCTCCCCAGAATTGGGCCCCACATGCCTGAGCTCCTGACAGCTTGGGCCATGCTCTGCCTCTTTGGGGAAGAAACGTGATCTCCAGGTCTGAGGAATCAGAGCAGGTGACTTGGGGCTGGCCCACAAACACTGTGCCTTTCTCCCATGTGGAATCTGGGTCCCAGACTTCCTCCTCCCAGGGACAAGGGTAGCGGAGCAGTGCAGCCCAGACTCGCAGATGCGAGTATTGGGTGGGTGGACGATTGAGGCTCGGAGAAAAGTGAGATGCTCAAGGTGACACAGCAGTGAGGAAGGATGACCTGGCCAGGTCTCCTGCCCCTGTCCCTCTCCAAGAAGGACTCCATGGAAGGCTGGTGTGCCCAGGAGAGAGAGGGTTGAGTGCTCACTAGACCTAAATGGCACCCTACTGGGGCTCTGAGGCGTGGTCTCACTCACTTTCCCTCTGCTTGGTGTCTCACTGGGCTCTCCCAGATTTGGGACCTCATGGATGAGAGGAGGCCACAGGGCTGAATCACCTGAAGTCAGATATCCAGGATTGCAGTTTCTTCCTGGTAGAAGCAGCCTCCAAGTCTGATTGGAGGACTCTGCCTTTCCAGGGCTCCCAGACCACCCAGAGTTTCCCACACTTTTCCAGCCCCGCCACCTGCTAGCCCCAGTTCTCACCTGTAGAAGCGACACTCCACTGTGTCAGTGCTGAAGCTGTACTGGTCCTCGTGGGTCTTCTGGGCTGCAAAGTTGGCTGCCTGTGAGTGTGAGCCGGCCACGGACACATGCACGTTGCTGCTGGGCTTGGGAGTCACATCCAGCCCGACCTTCCAGTCGTTGCGGATGCTGCGAGCTGCATCCTGGGCCACAGCTTCAGTAGAGCTGACTTTGGCCCTGGTTACATGGCGCTGGCAGCCAGAGCCCTGGGCCTGCCAGTTGGTGAGTGCCAGGGGCAGGATCTGGAGGGTGCCCTCCTGCAGGGCATTTACACAGAGGGTGCAGGTGCCGTCTGGCCGTAGGAACCTTTGTGTATCCACTGGAGAGGAGAGTGAGCGCTTGAGGGTGGTCACATCCATACCCTCCCCGGCGAGCCGTGCACCGGGCACGAAATTGTGGTGGTGCTTCCTGCACTCTGAGCGTGCGGCCGTGTGGCAGGGGGCAGGAACGGGCAGAGGCAGCAGCAGAAGGATGCCCAGGAGGAGCAGGCAGGCCGCCATGGAGCTGCAGAGACAGGGGGCACTTGGACTCTGGGAAGCCATGGGTGGAGGGATTGGGGAGGACTGGTCTCTTCCCACACAGCCATGGATTATCAGGGAACAGGGAAGGTGAGGGGCTGAGCTATCTCTTAAGTCATTATTCAATGAATGTCAGAGCTGGAGTGTTCCTTACAGGCCTGGTCCAGCCCCCACATTGTACAGATCGGCCCAGAGAGGGGAAAAGCTGTGCCCAGGGTCACACAGCCGAGGGAGCAACTTGCTAGAATTTCCCTAAGGTCTGTTAGGGATCTACGTGGATGGCTCTGTCCCCAAGACACAACTGTGGCTGGTGGGGAGGGGGCTCTGGCCACAGAAGAGTGGACAGAGTAGCTGTAGCAGGTTTGGGGAGGGAACTGAGGAAGTTTTCATTCTGGAGAAATGTCATTTTTGGCCCCAGAACAAGTCACCCTTTGTCCACTCTGACTCTTACTCTGTTTCTCTGTCTCTGTCACTCTCTAACCTCTCTCCCTTGAGCCCTTAACAGAACTGGAAGAGAAATGAAGTCCTGTATTCCCTGTATTCTTCCCACTTTCCCTTTGGAGCCCTCCCTCTGAGCTTTATGGAAGAACATCGGCCCAAATGCTAGAATGAAAGCTGCCAACCTGGGCACACACAGTGGCTCAAGCCTGTAATCCCAGCACTTTGGGAGGCCAAGGCGGGTGGATCACTTGAGTTCAGGAGTTCAAGACCAGCCTGGCCAACATGGTGAAGCCCCATCTCTACTAAAAATACAAACAGCCAGGTGTAGTGGTGGCACCTGTAATTTCAGCTACTCGGGAGGCTGAGATGGGAATCGCTTAAACCCGGGAGGCAGAGGTTGAGTGAACTAAGATCTTGCCATTGCATTCCAGCCTGGGTGATAGAGTAAGAGACTGTCTCAAAAAAAACAAAAGGTGCTGTTCTGACCACACCCTTTGATCTCCTGTTTAGAGAGGCCTTGAAGGTTGCTCTTCGGCTCCCCTCCTGCTGCCCCTCCCCTCTTTGCCACTCCCTGCCAAGCTCTGTGGCCTTTGGTTGTGACAGGGACTTCCCTATTGCCTACTATGATCAACTATTGTCTAGAAAGTTCTTCCTTACTTTAAGGTATCTCTGGGGCCTCGCCTGGGCCTGTTTATGATCTGGAATCTCCTTTCTCCAAACTTATCCAAAATGAGCTCTCCAAAGGCCTTTCCCTTGGGTACCACAGATTCTAGACAAGAAGGCTATGGAGGGCCCCCATTATAGCTGGAGCCTCCATACCCTGCCCAAAGCCACGACTTGAAGGGTGGAATTCCAGGCAGCACGGCTTGCCCCAGGGAGGCGAAGAGGCCAGGGGAATCTTCATAGGCCCTGGGATCATCCCAGCTAGGAGGCGGGCATGGTCATAACCCTAATCCAGGGACCTCAGCCTTCGTCCTGACTCTCATTGTATTCCCTCCTAGAGAGCCTGTTCCCAACTCTCTTAGAAAGCTTTAATGTCAGCACTTGCAGGGCCTTAGAAACTGTGCACGCTACCTCTTCATTTCGTACATGAGGAAACTGAGGCCCAGGGTGGGCACAAGGATGCCCAGTGAGTTAGTGATGGGCACCATTGTGACCCAGGTGTCTTGTCTCATAGGTCAGGGCACTTCCTGCTCCATCAGGCTCTTCTCCTCCACCCAGGGCCCCAGGCCCCCAAATCCCTGCCTTCTCCTTACCTAGAGTCCCGTATAGAGAAGCGGCTACAGACAGACATTCTCTCCCACTGAGGCTCCTGGAATGGTGGTGTCAGCCCCCAGGCAGCCCACTGCAGCTCCTCACCCCAGCCACCGCTCACATCACTTCTGCTTCCTGCCCCGCCTCCAGCTGTGGTCACAGGTCCCTTATGCTCTCCCCTCCCACCAGCACCCACCCTGTCCTCAACCCTCATCCGGCCCCCCTGACAGCCTTCAGGAAACGAGCAGGAGGGCCGGGGGGCTCATCTGCCAAGCAGAGCTGCTGGGGTTCAGGAACCCAGGGCACACAGGTGGAGGAGGACGGGGCGCTGAGGACTTGGAGAATCAGCCCTGGTGTTGACGCACAGGGCAGCAGGGCCATCTCCCTGCTTCGGACGCAGAGCATCACACGTGTGGGATGTAAGAGGCACCCAGAGGCGGGGCTGAGAGCGTGGGCCTTCGTACCAGGCCGCCGGGGCTTGGCCGGCTCGGTTATGCACCAGGAGGGTGGCCTGGTAGGGTTGTTCAGCCTTACTGTACCTCAGTTTCTTCACTGAAAAATTGGGATAGTAGTCATGTAGACCTTAGGGGTTGTTGTGAACTGTTTGGAACCATGCCTGGCCATTGGTGAGTGTCAGTGCGTGTGGCCATTCCCTCCTCCCTGAGCAGGGGAAGAGAGATGCTGCTCTGACCTTGCCATCCACTTCCTGCTCAGCCTACTTCTCAGCCCAGCCCAGCTCCGAACTCCAAGCATGTTCCCCAGGCAGGGGCTCCTGCCCCTTGCTTGTGAGGAGGGCCGGTGGTCTCCACGCTGGCCCCAGCCCTGCTGCGGTTGTGGGTGCTGGTGAGAGTGGTCTGGTGGGACTAGAGACCGTGCCTTTTGCACCCTTTGCCTTGCTTGAGGTCAGGGCGGGTGAGGTTTCCATGAGTGGAGTGACTCACTCACAGGACACTGGCTGGGGGGCAGAATCACATGGTTTCTGGGATGGGGGGCGGCTGGGTAAGGGGGGAGGGTATTCTTACAACTTGTTCTCATAACCGTGTATATGATGGAAAGAAGGAGCTGTAGGCTCCAGACCACGTGTGACACCATGTCTCATGGGTCACACCCTGGGGCTCATCCCTTGCGTTTATGACCCTGCTTGCGTCCCTGCTCTTACAGGAACAGGGGTTTATGCTGCCTTCTCGGAATCTGGCCCCATCTTTTCTCCGCAATGTCCTGTCCCTCTTCTAGAAATTGCAGCCTCTTAATCCCTTTCCAGCTTCCACCCATAGCATGACTTGGATGCTGAGGCTGTGAGGAGTTTCATTCCTGACCGCAATGGGAAAGCCAGTTTGAGGGACATAGAAATCCTGCAAAGTATCTGCAGGAAAAGAGAGGCAAGGTCTAAACAGGTTCTGATCCCGCTTCACCAGAAACTTACTGTATGCCTCATGGGGGTAGATAACAAACCCTTGTCCGAGCCTTAGTGTCCTCATCTACAAAATCAAAGAGAGGACTTTGGAATTCTAAAAATCCTTCCAGCTAGTGACAAAATATGCATTTGGCAGGTTTCAAGTGGCTTATGAAGTGGCTAATGCCCAAGAGATGCTGGTGGTTGTTAGGAGAGCCATTAAAGAGCCGAAATGACATTGAGGTTGGCGACTGTTTTTGGCTCACTTAACTGATGACGACTGGCCTCCTGTCGCTCTGAAACTATGCACTTGAAATGCACATTAAGCCCCAAGGTTCAACAAGTGCCTAATTTGTTCAATCACTAGACACCATGGTATATGATTTTCTTTTTTAACAACGTTATTGAGACGTAATTCACATACCTTATAATTCACCCATTTCAAGTATGTGATTTAATGGCTTTTAATATGTTCACAGAGTTGTATCGCCATTGCCACAATCAATTTTAGAACATCTTCATCACTCTCCAAAAAGAAAGCCTATACCCCCTGGGGGTCACTTCTCATTTGTTTGTTCGTTTGTTTTTTGAGATGAAGTCTTGATTTGTCACCCAGGCTGGAGTATAGTGGCATGATTTCAGCTCACTGCAACCTCTGCCTCCCAGGTTCAAGGGATTGTCCCACCTCAGCCTCCCCAGTAGCTGGAACTACAGGCATACACCACCACACCTGGCTATTTTTATTTTTTATTTTTTATTTTTGGTAGAGACAGGGTTTCACCATGATGGCCAGGCTGGTCTTGAACTCCTGACCTGCAAGTGATCCACCCACCTTGGCCTCCCAAAGTGCTGGGATTACAGGCATGAGCCACTGCGCCTGACCACTTCTCATTTATTCACGACATGAATCTACTTTATGCCTCTGTTAATTTTCACATTTTTGACAATTCATATAAAAGGAATCATAGGATTATATGGCCGTTTGTGTCTAGCTTGTTTCATTTAACATAATACTTTCAAGGTTCATCCATGTTGTAGCATGCATCAGTGCTTTAGTCTGTTTCAGGGCTGAATAATATTAGATTGTACGGACGTACCACAATTTGCTTACCCATTCATAGTTGATGGATGTTTGTGCTGTTTCTACTTTTTGGCTGTTATGAATAATGCTGTTATGAGCATTTGTGTACAGGTTACTGTGTGGACATATGTTTCCATTTCTCTTGGGGATATATCTAGGAGTGGAATTGCCGGGACACGTAGTAACTCTAGGTTTAACTTTTTGAGGAAGTGTTTTCTAACCTGATTGCATCATTTTGCATTTCTCTAGCAGTTTGTGAGAGTTCTAATTTCTCCTTTCCAAATCAAACCAAGGTTCCACTAGTTCCTTGCCAAACCTTGATTATAGCCAACCTAGTGGCTGTGAGGTTGTACCTCATTGTGGGTTTGACTTGGATCCCCCAGTGGCTAATGAGGTTGAGCATCTTTCCATGTGCTTAATGGCCATTTGTACATCTTCTTTGGAGAAATGTCTGTTCATGTCCTTTGCCCCTATTTTGAACTGGGTTGTCTTTTTATTGTTGAATTATAATAGCTCTGTCTACATTTTGGCATCTAGACCCTTACTAGTTATAGAATTTGCAAATATTTTCCCTTATTTTCGCAGTTGTCTTTCTTTTCACTTTCTTGAGGGTTCCCTTGAAGTATAAAAATGTTTTACTTTGACCAGGCATGGTGGGTCACACCTGTAATCCCAGCACTTTGGGAGGCCAAGGCAGGAGGATCGCTTAAGTCCAGGAATTCAAGATCAACATGGTCAATGTGGCAAAACACTGTCTCTACAAAAATTCAAAAATTAGCCAGGCATGGTGATATGTGCCTATAGTTCCAGCTATTTGGGAAACTGAGGTGGGAGGATTGCTTGAGCCCAGGAGTTCAAGAGCAGCCTGGGCAACATGGCAAGACCCTGTCTCTGAAAAAAAAAAAAAATTAGCTGGGAGTGGTGGCATATGCCTGTAGTCCAAGCTACTCAGGAGGTGGGAGGATTTCTTGAGCCTGGGAGGGCAAGACTGCAGTGAGCCAAGATCTCACCACTTCACTCTGGCCTAGGTGACAGATTGAGACACTGTCTAAAGCAAAAAAAAAAAAAGTTTTACTTTTGTTGGAGTCTAATTTATCTATTTTTTCTTTTGTTGCTTATACTTTTAATATCATATCTAAGAAGTTTCTGCCTAATCCAAGATTATGAATATTGATTCCTATGTTTTCTTCTAAGAGTTTTATACTTTTAACTCTCATATTTAGGTGCATTTTATGCATTTGGAGTTAATTTTTGTATATGGAAAGTGGCCCAACTTAATTATTTTTCACGTGGATGTCCTATGTGGTTTTTATTTATTTATTTTTTTTGAGACGGAGTTTCGCTCTTGTTACCCAGGCTGGAGTGCAATGGCGCGATCTCGGCTGACCACAACCTCCGCCTCCTGGGTTCAGGCAATTTTCCTGCCTCAGCCTCCTGAGTAGCTGGGGATTACAGGCACGTGCCACCATTCCCAGCTAATTTTTTGTATTTTTAGTAGAGACGGGGTTTCACCATGTTGACCGGGGTGGTCTCGATCTCTTGACCTCGTGATCCACCCGCCTCAGCCTCCCAAAGTGCTGGGATTACAGGCGCGAGCCACCGCGCCCGGCTTGATTTTTTTAGGTTATAAAATATCTACTCTAGATAGAACAGTTCCATAAATCTTGCTGTCTTGAAATGTTTGTGTCTCTCCAAGATTCACGTTGAAACTTAATCCTCAATGCAATAGTATTAAGAAGTGGGGCTTTTAGGAGGTAATTAGGTCATGAGGATTCTGCCTTCACGAATGGGATTAGTGCCCTTATAAAAGGGCTTGAGGGAGTCTATTGGGCCCTTTTGCCTTTCCACCCTTCTGCTGTGTGTGAGGACACAAGGTACCATCTGTGGAGTAGGGCAAGCCTTCACCAGACACTGAGTCTGCTGGTACCTTGATCTTAGACTTCCCAGCCTCCAGAACTGTGAGCAATAAAGTTCTACTACTTATAGATTACCCACTCTAAGGCCTTTTGCTATAGCCGCAGGAATGGATGAAGGCAGCACTCGACGTAGAATGCAGGAGGGAGATAGGGCATGATTGCATCTGCTGGTGTGCACGACCTACCACGTAAACTACAGCTGTGACCTGAAATCCAGTGAGCCCTTTAACAAAACGAGTGTTTCGATGGTAATTACTGTACATGCATTAAAGATCCAAAATGCAGTGACAGGTGTTGTTTTCTTCACTCTGCAACAATTCTTTAGGGCCTTTTCTCCACAAGTTTGTGAAACTTTGAGGTTCTTCTCCCTCAGCCCTCAACAGTGTTACCCACAGTTCTTGTTTTGCCCTTTCTCATAGAATGAGACGCAAGAACTGAAGAAATCTTTCCTCTTTTTCCATTCTGTGAAAGGCATTGTAGAAGATTGGCACGCTGTTGGTCTAATTGGGTAGATTTTAAACTACTGGGTCCGTGTCTTCAGCAGTTATACCTCTGTTTAGGTTTTCTGTTTTGTTTTCTGGTATCAGTTTTGGCAAGTTATTTTTTTCTAAATCCTTCACACTATAATTTCACACTTGTGGGCATGAAGTTGTTTACAAGGTTCTTTCTCTTAAAAACCAAATCTTTCTGAGTTGGTAGTGGTGCCCTATTTTGATTAAAGATTTTAAAAAGTATGGCTTTTCTCT